TATTGAAGAAACTACGAGCTTCGATAAATTACGCAGAACGATGTGTATATTTAAATGAAGCACGTATTTTCTTCCTAGCAGAAGAAAATTTAAAACCTTTTTTGAAGCTCGGGAAAAAGCGGAAACTTATGGATATTGACAAAAATGCGCGATTGTATCCCATCGTGCGCCAAACCGTCCCAGCGTTGTCTCAACTTGTTATCTGGACTAGACCGGCTAAAGGAGCGCGAGAACATTTAAAAAACAAGACAGTTCTGGTCTTAAAAAATTATTGTGGCAACATAATAGTTGCCAGAAGTCTGTCTGCTCCCGTCGAAGGAAAATATCCGGTATTATGCCAAAATCTAGGAGACAAAGACGTTGAAGTTAGTCCGCGATTGACACTCGCTATGGGAACCTGTGACTCTTGGTACTTACCACCCAACCAGGACAATTATGGAATTTCAGTGAATAATCTTGCCTCGCAGGATAAAAAAGCGAGCCAGGAATTAATTCATGGAAAACTGGAAGAGAAGGATTTAAAACAACTTGTCGAGGAAAATATTAAAACATCAGAATGTCCTCCCCATTTAATTCATAAATTGCGGAACCTTTTGTTTAAATACAAGAACGTTCTAGCTAAAAAATCAGATCATCTAGGTCTGTGTGAATTATATGAGGCCGATATTCCCCTTGACACGCAAAGTCCAATTTATACGCGACAATATCCTCAGCCATTCGAGATGAGAAAATTGGCTACCAAATATACAGAGGATCTTCTGAACCAAGAAGTAGTGCGTCCCTCCACCTCCCCTTACAACAGTCCTACGCTGATGGTGCGAAAAAAGGACGGAGGGTGGAGAATGGTCGTCGATTTTAGACGGTTAAATGACCATGTTATCACGGATCCTCACCCCTTACCAAGAATCAGTCAGATTTTTGAGGAATTGGGTAATTGCAAATATTTTAAAAAAAGGACGGAGGGTGGAGAATGGTCGTCGATTTTAGACGGTTAAATGACCATGTTATCACGGATCCTCACCCCTTACCAAGAATCAGTCAGATTTTTGAGGAATTGGGTAACTGCAAATATTTTACAGCATTGGATTTGCTTCATGGGTTTTATAATTTAAAGATTCGAGAGGAAGAGAGGCATAAAACAGCCTTCTCGACCCCAATGGGTCATTACGAATTTATTCGTTTACCTATGGGGTTAAAAAACAGCCCTTCAATATTCCAACGATTAATGCATCTGGTTTTGGATGGTTGTCTGGGAATTTATGCGTATATATATATCGATGATATTGTTATATATTCACGCGATGCAGATAAACATCTACAACATCTAGATGATATACTGAAGAGATTAGATAAGGCTGGTTTAAAAGTAAAGTTTTCGAAATGTCAATTGTTTAGAACAATATCGATGATATCGTTATATACTCACGCGACGCAGATAAACATCTACAACATCTAGATGATATACTGAAGAGATTAGATAAGGCTGGTTTAAAAGTAAAATTTTCGAAATGTCAATTGTTTAGAACTCAAATAGAATATCTTGGATTTTTTATCAGTGAGGAAGGGATCCGTGTTAATCCAATTAAAATCGAGGCGATCAAGAATTTCCCCATACCTAAAGACGTAAAGGGCATTCAAGCCTTTTTGGGACTCGTTGGATATTTCCGATCATATATCCAAAATTTCGCTTTAAAAGCAAAGCCTTTGTATATGCTACTGCGGAAGGATACCCCTTTTAAGTGGACAAAAGAACAACAGAATGCAGTAGAGCTGTTAAAAGCTTGCTTAATGAAAGCACCGATTTTATCTTACCCTGATTTCGATCACGAATTCATATTGACAACTGATGCATCAGCAATTGCAATAGGTGCTGTCCTGACCCAGAAACCAGGTAAGAAAGAGATACTAATTGGATGTACCTCTAGAACGCTTAATGATGCAGAATCGCGTTATTCGAACACTGATCGCGAACTTTTAGCAGTGTATTATGGGGTACAGCAATTTAGATCATATCTATGGGGGCATAAATTTGTGATCAGAACTGATCATATCGCGATCCCTTATTTAAGCAGGCAACGTCAAAGTGATAGCANNNNTAGGACAAGAAGACTTATTTACCAGCATCGTAAGTCTTATAGAAGATTTGCGAACCGCAAATAACGATACTGTAGGATTCTGGATGAGATTGATAACTTTAGGATCTGAATTCAGCCACATTGTGGATATTGAATCTTTTCTTATACATGATATCGAGGCCATCATGAAATATCAATTTCCCACTTATCTTTATAATTATGATACAGTGCATGCTGCTATAGCTACTATATTAACTACAGAACATAGAGAAAGACTTATTTACCAGCATCGTAAGTCTTATAGAAGATTTGCGAACCGCAAATAACGATACTGTAGGATTCTGGATGAGATTGATAACTTTAGGATCTGAATTCAGCCACATTGTGGATATTGAATCCTTTCTTATACATGATATCGAGGCTATCATGAAATATCAATTTCCCACTTATCTCTATAACTATGATACAGTGCATGCTGCTATAGCTACTATATTAACTACAGAACATAGAGCCTCTTTAATTGGATCTTCTGCCGCAGAAATGATGGCAATAATCCAGTCAAACCCCTTAACAACTAGTAATTTTATTGGATGTTCTGCACCATCCGAACAAAAGTTAGGTCCTTGCAAAATACATATAATAACAATTGTTCCAATAATAAGACCCGCAGAAAAATATGGTTTATTCCGTGTGCATGTCATGCCTATCGCAAAAGAAACGTATCTTGGGACTCCAAAATGGTATCAAGCCAGAATCCCGCATGCTTATATGTTGCAACAAGGAACAAATTTGTATGGAATAAATAATAATGAATTACCCAGTTGTCTCAGAAGTATAGGGTACACTGGATGCCGCATATGCAGATGGGAACACACGCCTACTGTAAAAGCAGTGAATTGTTTACAAAACGTCCAGAGAGGATCAAACGAGGAAGAGATTAAAAACTCTTGTGAAATGATGGAGATAGAAGCTCCAAAGGACAAGGTCGTACAACTCGATCAAGACGAGTTCGCTTATGTAGACGCGGACAAGGGAAGAGTCACACAATATTGTGCTGGCTCTGATGACGACAAAATACCAGCCACAGAAAACTCGTATGTATTACCCTACTCAGGTATACTTCAATTTAAACCAAATTGTCGTTATACTATGGTCAATGGACCATTTAAAACACTTATACCTAAACTAGATCGTGTGGAAATAAATGCAGTGGAAGAAGTATTACCCCCAGACGTTAAAAGAAAAATAAATGAAGATATCAGTGATCTCCAGATACATTTTAGAGACCACGGATATATTTACTTAATTGTCTCAATTACTCTTCTTGTAATTATCCTTTCATGTATCATGTATCTATGTTATGCAAAAATTAGATACATTATACGCAGAAGAAGACAAAGGGACATGAGTGCCCTGGAGATATATTTACTTAATTGTCTCAATTACTCTTCTTGTAATTATCCTTTCATGTATAATGTATCTATGTTATGCAAAAATTAGATACATTATACGCAGAAGAAGACAAAGGGACATGAGTGCCCTGGAGAATACTACAATAGAATTGTTACCCTCGAGAATGGCCCCTGATGTGCCTCAATATCCCCGTTTACAATTGAATCCCAGAACCGGGATTATGACGATAAAATAAAAAAGTAAAGAACCAAAATTTGAACAAGCAACGCAATTTTATTTTGGCATGAAAAATTAACAACGAATGCCACAAAAAATAAAGCCAGCGACGAAAAATTGCACTAATTGACGAGTCCTTTTGACGAAGCGGTTTGATTTCCGTTGGAGACGATCCGTGCTAACCCATTGAATGTCCTAACACGTTGATTCTTCTGTGTTTGGTTCTTGAGTTGTTGTAGACAACGGAACTTCTTGCAGCTCTTGATATTCTGTAAATATAGAATGCATTAGAATATTGTATAGAAAAAATATTTCCTGAAACTCACTCAAAAGTTTAATTCGCAAAGGACGGACAGAAGCAAAAGTTTGACTTCTTTCAGCCATTTCTAAAGCCTCACCAAACGAAACTGGCTGAACACCAGCGGCAATGATTTCTGAGTCATCAAAAAATGGATTAACCATTCTTACAGCATCCTCAACCAAAGTGGACAGTGCTCTAGTCTGATCAACAAACAAAAATGTCATTCAAGAAAAATTTCTAAAAAAGATCCAACAGGACTTACAGGCTTGTATTTCATGTAGACCAGAATCGAAAGGATGATGAGAAGCAAGAAAGCGAAAATGCTCATGCCAATCAATAAATAAAAAAGCCAGGAATGTTTTGGTAACCCAAAAGAGTTACTGGATTTTCCTAGTTTTTCCATAGGCAATCTCATCTCTACTTCCAAAGGAATGTCATCAACACGACCGGGAATGAAAATCTTGGATGGAACAGTTGTCCGCTCAGAAGACGAAGAAATGGAAGTCTCCGTACTGAACTCCAAAACAACCGAAGATTCGATTGTTGTGGAATCCGGTGCAAAGGTTGTAGTTACAGATTCTAGAAACAAGAAAAAGAAATATTTCTAGTTTTAAACAAGTAAATTAAAACTACTGATGACTTACTCCTTGTGGATGAAGAAGAAATAACAGTACTGGTACTTGTGCTAGTAACAGTATTTCTCTCCATGCCCTGACAAAGCCACAAGGGATTGATGACAGATCGCAGATATTCTGTCATTGTTCCTCTGCACCAAGTTTGAGTTGTTAAAGATACTTTCTGAAAGGTTTCAATACTAAGAATTACTGTTTCTACATTCCATAGGAAAACAAACCAACCTTCAGATGACGTATGGCAACACATTTCAAATCCAGGACACGACCAACGAAGATCACCTCGTCGTCGTAGTACGAAGAATGCCTTGCTTCACAAACATCTTCGCAATAATACTTTTGGCCAACATTTACGCAATTGTCATCAAACGCGAAAACAACGCAGGCCAAAAGCAGAAATCTCGCAAAACAAAACATTTTTGTTGATTAACTTGTGCGTTGACTTACTGATTGGAAACTTTTTATTTTATTTTTCGCGAAAATATTAATAGAAGACTAAAAAGCACGAATTTGTTTGGAAATGTTGTCTGAAAAGGATTAAGGGAATGTAAAATTCAATATTTGACAATTCTCAATAGGACATAAAGAAGTCCCTGTCAAAATTGAATCACCAGAAAAAATTACAGAACCGACCGATTGGTTCTATGAAGGGAACTGAACTGTACTCTACGAGGCAGGTTCCTACATATGGATAATTCTTCGACTGTTTACAGTCAAGTAGATCTGTATGAATTCCTGCACACCTCAAATGAGGGTGACGAAGGAATCTGGTGCAAAAACATGCCTTGGCATGAGAGAAAATAAGAGGACTTATTTTTTTTTATTGTCCGCGGAGAATTTGTCATCGATAACTTTATTGCGTTCCCTTTTCATCCCCTTTCACCTAGCAGACGACGCTCCGAATAAAGTCACGTCGTCTGTCTCACGGTTCCGCCACGTGATCTCCCGCGAGTCACGCGCCACAAGGTTACGCAACCTCACCTAGAATGAGGTCAGATCCGGGTCTGACCATTCTTGCCCAACTTTACTTGACTGAATCTATATAGCCGCCTGTTCTCTGTTGATCGCGCGCTCATTGCTGTCTGGACTCTTGTTCTAAACGTACTTGCTGTTGAACACGAAATAAAGCTGTAATACATTTTGTACTTGAGGAGTTTATTGAATTACCAAACCCGGCAACAGGAATAAGAAAATCTCCTCACAATAAATTGTCTGAGTTGGTTAAGTTAAGGACTTGCGACGGTAAGTCATACAATCAAAGGTTTAGAGACGTTTAAGCTGAATGATTGTAAACCATCAAACCGAATCTATATAGCCGCCTGTTCTCTGTTGATCGCGTGCTCATTGCTGTCTGGACTCTTGTTCTAAACGTACTTGCTGTTGAACACGAAATAAAGCTGTAATACATTTTGTACTTGAGGAGTTTATTGAATTACTGAACCCGGCAACAGGAATAAGAAAATCTCCTCACAATAAATTGTCTGAGTTGGTTAAGTTAAGGCTTGCGACGGTAAGTCATACAATCAAAAGGTTTAGAGACGTTTAAGCTGAGAGGTTGTAAACCATCATTTTAACTAATTTAGACAACAATGCAAAGTTCAGGAACACTCGGATTTAGAAAAAAGATCCTTTTTTTTAGATACTTTCTATTCATTCAATTCAAAAGTTTCCATTGCTTTTTCTTACTCAATGTCCCGTCTCAACTTGTGTAATTTTTTTTTTTCCCAGCCGCTTTTGAGCCGACGACTGGAGCACGAGCGATGCCGGAAGCTCCTGAAGGAAGTGTGGCATCGGGAAGTGAAGCGGATGCAAGAGGCCGTGTCCAGTATGCGGAAGGCCAAGACGGCGTACCACCAGCGTCTGGATGAGTATCAAAAGTCGCCGCTGGGCTCACGCCATTCCCGAGGCACGTCCAGTGCGAGCGCCAGTGACGTCGACCCGGACTTCAAGTCGTCGGACCAGCGACGGAAGACCAAGAGCGAGGAGGATGTGCATCAAAAGGCATGTTGCTAACGAATGGTTCAGATGCGATGTGATGTGATTTGATGTGTGATTTGAAGAGATGAAGAGTTACGGGACGAAACTCGTACAGCGACAATGACTGGCATTCTTGTCCCTTTTTTTTGGTCTACGATTTTCGAATTTTTTTACTGATGGGTGAGGGGAATGAACGAGGCTAGGAAAACGTTTTCTCCTCAATTTTTATTGCACTCATTGGCAAGGTTTAAACGCGAGAAGTTAATTTTTTTATCATTGAAAGGTTTGTATTTTTATGGCTGTGAAAATATTTTATTTGCAGGTTTATTACTTTAGAATATTGAGCACACAGTGAGACCCTGAGATGCGGATGTAATTGGTACATCAAGAGTGTCCCTAAGTTGAGTCTAATTTTCCCTTAGACTTACATTATATTTTTTTAATTGGTTTTATGTACAAATTACTCACCATAATTCCATGAAAATAAATGTTTTCTCCCAATTTAAATCTGATTCAATCAATATTTTTCAACACAATATGGACATTTGGGGAATGGAATACTGATACCTCTGTACAGTACATGGAAATGGCATTCTCTGTAAAAATAACATTCAATAGAACAAAGAAAGAAGGAAGTCCCTCTATGCTGGAGGTAATTTTTTTAATTAGCTAAATGGATGTTAAATTGGTGAGAGAAATGCCCAAGAACTTTTCTGACATCAATTTTAGGGTTGGAAATATCTTTTTCTTGTAATTTTGCCTGAAATAATGTATTTGCAATTTCATCTCAAAATGTCCCTATGTTGAGTCAGTGTCCTCATGTTGGGCCTTTTTTATGGGAAAATAGTGTCCCTATGTCCCTGCAGACAATTGAGTGAATTGTCTGCAGGTCAAGGTGTCCTCATGTGGGGGTCTCACTGTAATACAATATTCTTTTCACCATTTCAGTATTATGTAATCAAGTATTCATAAACTTGCCAAGCAAGTGAGGCATTGGTTGAATACAAAATCAATTTTATATATTAATAACTGAAAAAATGAGAGTACTTCTCTTCTGAAATTTAAAAAAGGATGGACACAATATTTGAATAAGAGTTGTGGTGTCTTTCAAACAACATATTGCCTGGTTGATCTTGGAATCAAACATCGGCAGAAAATATGTTTCTTGCCTCATCTGTTCTAGCAAGAATTGGAAAATCGTGAGAGAAGGAAAATTATTCCACTTGTCGCTGTGCGAGTTTGCTGGGAATTGTCGAGATGTACACGCTGATTAAGGGAATGCTGAAGGGACGCTGGTGCCTCGTTTGAAAGACTTGATTCGATAAGAAATCTTACAGTATGTCCACGAAGCTTGAATGTAACTTTACGTGAAATGCTGTGCCTAATTTGTTTCATACCCAGCTACCCTCTCTAAAAATATAATTAATTGAATAATCATATGTCAGCAGATGATGCGACAAAGTTGTTTCATTCAGTCAATGAAAATTTTTTAAATTTAGGTGGCAATGAAAACGTTGGCGATTCTTGATCTATGGCTTTGACATGTTTTACACATACTGTAAACGGTTGTGATTTACTGTACATTCCTAATATTTATACTGAATGGCGAAATTACGTGAAATTAATTACTTTTTTCGTGCAATCGAACGCGATTATTCTTCTCCGCAAGAATTTATCGAATCACGAGTAATTCTGTCAGAAGGTCGAAGTCCGCTTTTGGTCGCACATTTCCTGTGAGAATCTCATTCCATTGCTTTCGAGATTATGTAATTGTTTTGGTAAATGACGCTTGTATAGTGTAATCATAATTATCTAAATTATGCATTTTATTTTTAATATCGTTTACTATTTATATATGCTGTGTACAGTTGCTTGAAGCGGAGTTGAATCATAAAGCCCTCGTGGAGAACGCGAACGAACAGCACACAGCGTTGCTGAAAACGAAGGCCCAGGTGTTGCAGCAGATTCATGAGCTGATTATCCAATGTGACCAGACGATGAAAACCGTGACAGTCAACTACTTTCAGCTTCAGCACTCAGTCACGGCTCCGTCGCCAATTCAGGTGAATCAGTGCATCCGTTTCGAAGCTATATTGAGTGTTGATTCAGCTGGTGCTTCTGTAAACATACGAGTGCAAGTACAATACTGCGTACTACTATAATTTTTTTGTGGAAAGTTATTGTCGAATAAATGCCGTATTTACTCGAGTGCCACCACGCGCACCTTTTTCTCAAAGTTGAGAGTGGGGAAAAAGGGGATGTGCCTCATGTATGGGTATACATTTTTAAAAAGGTTGCTGATAGAAACAAGCTTAAGATAGATCTACAAGTACTGGAATTCAATGAAGAGACCCTCTCTGAAATCTTAAAGGATCAAGATGAACTGTTGGCTTTATATGATTTCTCATCAAAGATCCTGTGTAATTTGTTCATTCAACTAAACCTCATACAGAAACAAGCTGAAGACCACATTGAGTGGATTTGGGTTGGGTGGGAAGGGGGTTTGGTTGTGGGAATCTTGATTGAACCTTGTGAACTCTGAAAAGCGGCAAATAACGTGTTCTGTTCATTCATTCATAGAAAGGTTTTCAAAGTTTAGATTTGCATTATACTTGATTCTAAAGTGACAATTTGGATCCATTTAAACAAAAAAACTATTTTTAATGGGAAAAATCTAAAATTAGTTCTAAAATTCATAAAATCTAAAATTCATAAAATCTAAAATTCATGTCAAAATTCACATTTTGGTCTTCTTAGGTTTGAAATATTCAAATTTTAGAGTCACTAAAATTGGTGTTCATGCTTTGATCTGGATTACAATTTTATAAGAAAATTTAACCCTCATGCGTGTGTTACTTGAGTAAATACTGTTACAATAAATTCTGAATAGGATGGGTTTTGAGTTATTTTCTAATTAAATGAATGATTGTTTTTGGGGTCTGGATAACTGTCTATGGCAGTAACAACTGAATTAAGGTTTTGAGCAATTCCTTTAAAGGCGGTATTCACAACTTTTTCTGATCCACTGCTGTTCAAGATAAAGGTGAATTTTTTCCTTGTTGAGCTACCCTGTAACCCTAAAAATCATTGTATTTTTCGTGTCCGTCCGTCTTTCCTTTCGAAGCTCATTTGAGAGAGCGTGTTAAATTTATTTATTTTTTCAAATATCTTCAGCCTGAGGAAAGATTTTGTTTGTTGAAAAAACGTGGGCATTGTGGCGTTGAAGCTATTATGTCATTCAAATAATTGTCTCACGTGGTTGTATATATATATATATATATATATATATATACAGTATTTATTTTTTTCAGTTCCAAACATTGTGCGAAAGCAGCCGACTTTACGAGCCAGGATCCCAGTATTTGGAATTCGTCAAACGTCTCCCCGGGGCGCTGAACCCCGAAGGTGTGGAAGGGGAACCGCAGAAATCGTTCACCCCGTCTTGGTTGGAGACATACTTGGAAGATTGTCCTGGCCCAGCCAGTGAACAAGAAGGCAATATCCAGTTTTCCCAATTGTCCAGGGACCGGAAATCCATGGACTCTCAAGCATCAAGTGATGGATCGTTAAATCCCATCCCGTCTGGTAAAAAAAAAAAAACGTTCGCCTGAAAATTTTGAATGAGCTACAGTTTTTAGTATTTTTGCTATGAATGCGTGTAGATCTGCGATTTTTTTTTCCGCTGGTCCCTTGAAGATCGACTCAAAGAGCGTTTTACTGTACAGTACTTTTATGTCGTCACAATTTTCGGGAATATTTTGTCATGTGTTTATGCAGCAGTGGTGCCCAATTCAAAAGTGGTGGTGGGCCACATAGCATGGAAAGAGTCTTTGAGGGAAAGACACAATGTTTTTTTTGCTTCAATGCATGCTGCAATGCCGTGAAAATAGTCAAATTAAGTTTGCATTCCCTGCTTTTGAGTAAATATTTTGTCTGTGGGTAAGATTGGTTTGCCAAGCAGAGGGAAAACGCCCATACATAAAAAACGGATCCATTTATGAAACATCTAAAAAAAAATTTTTTTTTAGTGTTAACCTCTTAATAGCGGGCATAGAATCAGAATACAGGTTGGAAAACCTTAGTTGCACCATCTTTGTTTAATTTTTCTATGTTCTGGCCAGAGTGAGCATCCGTGTCAAAGAAGTTATATGATATCCTTAAATTATTCAGAATTTTAGAATTTTTTTTTTCTTGCAATGATATTTTAGATAGAGTTGGGACAAACACAGGAGATATTCAATGGATTTCCCCAGAATTTCTTTAAATTTGCATTTGAGCATTGAATTTTTCTGCTGGTTCTGAAGCAGTGTTCTCCTACCTGTGGTGTATGTCATGGGTCCATTGGATCCCAGACAAACAAATTGAATTGTGCAGCCATCAGAATGCAAGTTTTGAATAAGAACTCAAACTCTTTTCAGAGGAGTTCATTCTTATTGCCCAGATCATCAATTGGCTGTTAATTAAATGGTTGTAATGGCAGAGTCAATTGTAAGATTGGTTGGTTAGCTCAGAATAATGAATGAGGTAATTAAAGTTAAAAGGCCCTTCAACACTAGGTTCTCACTTCTCCTCTCAAATAGGAATGCAGACTTTTATACCCAGGTACTCAGACTGGGTCAGGAAGAAATCAGGTGATTTCTTCCTGGCTCATGATTGGCCAATTTTGATGAAATCAAGGAAGTGATGACCCCTTCTTGTCCTTGAGTGAGGCTCAGTGAGTCTTGCAAAAATGGGATTTTGGCAAGGGTCACTGGCCTCAAGATCCAACAAGTTTTCTGGACAGGTTTTGGCCAGATGCAGGAGCTTTGCTGTTTCAGTACGCAACAGTCCGCAGATTTTTTGCCAGTCTGTTGGAAATTATTTTCACCATGATAAATTTTTCTAGAGTAGCAGTGAAGCCCTGTTGTCCTTATCTGAAATCTTGGAAAAACAGTGGTAGTTGACATTATCTGATGAAAAATAAAAGTTGGCTTTTCTCATAATAATGATCTTTTTCAAATTTTCACCTGTTGAAATTAATTATTTTAATTTTTCATTCTTCACACCCACCTTCCTAATTTTTTGAAGATATTCCAATATAGCTGCTTCATATTGGTTCTCCATGTGATTTTTGCAGAAAAGCAGAAACGTTTTAAATACCTTTCATGAAGTCTTTCAAGTGTAACTTTTTGAGTCTAAAAAAAATAAACTTTGCTGGTCTGCAGGACATTTTTTGGAAAATCACCATCCTGCAAATATCTTTAGGGAATTTTAGTCGTCCGCGGGACCAAAAGGGTTGGGGAACTCTGCTAAAGCATCGATGTGGGTGCTGGTGGCTATTGTGGGGTGACTGTCAAGGGCTGGACAGGATAGTGCTCCACGGGCCATATTTTGAGCATAAACTCTCGTTGTTTGTATCAACCCAACAAAGATCTCTAATTTAAATTATGTTAATACTCTTTAATTTTTAAGTAGTTATTTAATTGAAGATTTTTAAACTTTAAAAAATATTTGATATATGTTGTATCATTATCTCTTCTTAGAGTATTTATTTACATCAATTCAACGCTTGAAAAACCCCCTCATCTTTGAGAACGTGTTTTTTTTTCCTTTTTTGCAGACGGCAAAGGCGCGCGAGCTCGTGCCTGGACGACGACGGGCCACTGCAGTGACACCGACAGCTCCTTGTCGACGAGCAGCCAGAGCACGGGTGCGGGCCGCAGTTACAACGCGTCACCGACGGCGCTTAAAGCTCATGGTGGCAGCAGTCGGGCTGAAGCTGCTTGCAGCGAACCACTCGACAGCTCTGGCAGCTTTGACTCACGTCAGTGACAACTGTCTCTCCCTTTTGTTTTTTTGTTTTTTTACGAATATGTTTTTATTGTGGTTCATCTGCCAGTTTGTGGTCGACGTGACTCTAACATCAGCAGCATGCTATTGATGTTTTTTTCCGATGAGTGTAAGATCGAGATGCAGCGATTATAGTGGTGCTTCCCCCTTTTTTTAATTAAAAAACGTTCAATCCCTCGGAAAATGTGTAAAAGTGGACCCTCTCTACGATGAAATCAGAAGGTCACGACAAAAAAAAATCGCTGTGGAGAGTATTTCGTTGCGGGGGAACCCTTCTGTAACGTGAGGAGCGAACCCTGTGTGGGACCACCAAAAAATTCTGGTACTTTCCTGTTATCTCTGTACCTTCCCTCTGACCAATTTAACCTGACCTTACCTAGCTTCACCTAATTGCCTCCCAAAATCGGTTTCTGCTTTCCTTGGGTTTCTGCTGAAACTGATTTTGAGAGGTGGTTAGATTAAGTTAGGCTAGGTCAGGTTACGTTAATTAAAATATATTTGTGACTAACATAACCTGACCTAACTTAACTTTACCTAACCGCCTCCCAAAATCAGTTTCAGCAGAATGCGGAAAAATAAAATTCACAGGTTCTGGGAGGTCGTCGTGATTATGAACTTGTCCTAAAGATTTGTCTGGATGGGAGTGTGGTCTAGGAATGAGGTATACAGATAACAGGAAAGTACCAAAATTCTTCCTACGCAGAAAATCGTTGTAGAGAGAGTTCACCTGTAATATACTCATAAATCTCGAATCTTCAGTCCATTGGTGAGCCATTGAATGACGGGACGTCGCGTTTTCGAGTCAATTTAGGATGATGATGATTCATCTCAATGTACAGTAGTGCCCTCTGCTGGCCCACAGCGTAATTTCCCTCATGATTGAATTATTGTGAAAAATGTTGCGCAAAAAAAACGTAGTCGCGAGAAAGAAGGACGGAATTGTCAAGCATAAATAATCATGCCTGATCTTTACTGTATTTTAAAATTGGTTTGAAATAATGAACGCTTTTAAACCAAGGAAAAATTTGATAATCAACCAAAGGCATGATAGCGCTTTGTAAAATAACGGTGCCTTGTTTCATCGTTGAGTCAATGCTTCAGTAATTCAAGCACTTGGAGAATTGCGTTAAACAATTGGCATCCCTGAATAAAGGCTGTTGAGAATACAAAGTCCGATTCAAACGTGCATGGTTGTGATATACTGTACATGGAAACACTTGAAATACTTTAGAACTCTGCGAAGACGTTCTTTACGTGTTGAGAATTTTGCATTTGACTCGGCTGTGTTTTCTCAAATATTTTGTCAATCCCACTTATTGTATTAATTTTTTTTTTCGGAGTACCTGTACTGTATAATTCTCGATTTGAAGTACTGTATTGTATTCCTTGGAATAGGTTGCATTTATGTTCTCGTGAAGCCCTGACATTTCATAAAATATTGAATACTTCCGTTGGGAAGGATCATCATCTTGCAAATAAGGACATACTGTATGTCTTTATTTTTTGTGAAACTTTTGAGACAATTTTTTGGAATGGAGAAATTTGGTAAATGACGAAAGGCATTCAATGGTTCTCGTGGATGAGTGAATTAATTTCAGAATTCAATACTGCGAGGGATTTTTGCGCTGTGCTGAAAAATATGCGAATTCCTTTCACAATTAAGTTCCAAGAGCGAAATATTGTTAGAGAAACCCCGACATATATATTTTTTTTCAATTTATCAAATCAAATGAACCACTCATCGATCACAACAAGTGGTGACGAAAGAAGAGAGAAAAAAAAGAATTGTGAATAATGATTGCATCCTCCGAATAGGACAACTGCATTTCGATCGTTCATCCGAGCAAAATTTCCGTTCAACCGGAAATTTTGACTCCTTGAGTTTGATGGCTGTGACTGTCGCGTAAACGTAGCCATGCAGATCTTCGTCAATGAATACATCATCACCGATTTATGGTTCCTCGATAGCCCCGAGCCAACTCGAGACGGTAAATCAACATTCCTCGCTCTCTCCAATTTTCTTCTATTCTTTCCACCAACTTCGCTCCTATATGCCTTTCAAACTTGATTTTTCCTGCTCCGACGGATTAAGAGTGGAACTCCGGTTTTTCTCAGTGCTTATCGTTGCTAATAATTGCTTTCGGCGTATAATAAAAACGCCTGTTCGGACTGAAAAGATGCCGGATATTTGAGGATGGTTTTAATAGCCAAACTCGATTACAGTGAGACCCCAAGATGCTGACTTAATTGGTGCATAAAGAGTTTTCCTTCAGTCGAGGCTCCTTTTTCCTTAGACGTACATCATACAATTTTTAATTAGTGTTTTATGTACAAAATACTCACCATAATTCCATGAAAATAAAAATTGTCTCCGAATTTAAACTGATTCAATCATTATATATCAACAAAATATGGACATTTGGGGAATTGAATACTCATACCTCTGTACAGTACATGGAAATGTTGGCATTCTCTGTAAAAATAACATTCAAGTGAAAAAAGAGAGAAGGAAGTCCCTCTATACTGGAGGTAATTTTTTTCAAATTAGCTAAATGGATTGTGAATTGGTGAGAGAAATGCCCAAGAACTTTTCTTGCATCAATTTTAGGGTTGGAAATATCTGTTTCGTGTAATTTGGCCTGAAACTTATTTGCAATTTAATCAGAAAATGTCCATATGTTGAGTCATTGTCCTCATTTTGGGCCTTTTTTATTAATTTTTTATGGGAAAATAAGTGTCCCTACGTCAAATTGTCCAGATGTCAAGGTGTCCCGCATGTGGGGGTCTCACTGTATTTAACTGCTGTCCCTCTACAGTACTAGGTATTGCAATATTTACAATAAGCACTGAAGTACAGAAGAAGTTGCTGGTACAGTAATTTTAGTCTGGGGTTTGCTATACTGAATTTTTTACACTTTTTCTACTGAAAAAGGAAAATGTATGGGTTTTCTGTTCATTTCATTAAAGCCGCTGATGATTTGGAATTTTTCATGTCCTACAGTTATTGTGAGATCATCGATTGATTGGGAATCGCCGAAATTGTCAAAGATGTAAATTGCCATTGATTATATATGCAGAGATTTTTTGAGTTAGGCTTCATCGGGATGGTTTGGATTTTGTTGTTGGATCAGTTTATTTTCTGAGTTGATCCGGGCTTTGGCCGATTGCAGGAAAATAATTTGAGCTTTCAAATGCAAAATAGCCTGAATTTATAAGAAATTGTTTTTTTTTTTTTAGGAAATAAGGCGTCATTTTTTTGAAGGGTCACTTTTCGGTCGTGGGAATGTTTATAAACCGGAGTTCCGCAGAAAATCCGTTCCTTCAGGCATTAATTTCCGATTCCGATTACGTCTTCGATTTTGTTTCCTCTTCTTTTTCTCTTGGTCAGCAATGGTGAACTTTACATTTAAGATTCGTCACCTAGGTTTTAGCGTGAGAGACACGAGATTTGTTTGCCGATTATTTAGCTCTGCTTTGCATCTTGTTCCTCTTAAAACCCGATTTGCGGAATTTGTGTTGTTCGTAGTTATAAGAAAGCATGTGTGTACTTTGACGTCTGTTTGAGTGTCTTCAATTAATTTCTTTCTTCTTTGAGTGCGTCTCACGAAATTATGGATTTAACGTATTAAAATGAATTCAAACCCTGTCGATCGCATTTTGAGCGTGTTTATTTCGATGAGAACAGCAGGAGTAAATTTTGAACTGGAAAATAACATTATTTGTCATCGCTGCATATATACTGTATCCGTGTTTCGTGGTTCCCGTAGAATCGCTTTGGTTGTGCTGTTTAGTCTGACCTTTTCTCGCTATTTTTGGATCAAAATGCCGTTTTTTTTTTTTTTGCTGCTTTGTTTTGTTTTTTCTATGATGCTTTGCTCGCTCATATATTTTTGGCGGTATTTTCGACTTGCAGAGGTCGAAAACGGCGGTGGAGGTGGACGAGGAAATTCTGGCGAGAAGCAAATGTTTCTCGGTATGTCGAAAGCGGCGGAAACTCATCGCTTCAAGAAGCTGAGGACGCCTTCGAGGTGCCGAGAATGCGATTCCTACGTGTATTTCCAAGGAGCTGAGTGCTGCGAGGTCAGCGTCATTGTTTTGTTTTTTTTGTTGTTTTGTTTTACGATTTCCGGGACTTTCGTGAAGAAAAGCATTCTTTAGCTTCCGGTAGCGTAAGTCCGAATAAGTTCCGAACGCCGTGTGTTATACAGGGTGTGACAAATAATGGGTGCAGTATTTTCGTGCTTGTGCTATACTTTTAATGGACGTGACTCAATGTTGTATACGAGGGTTCTAACGAAAGTTCTCGGAGTAGCAAAGAAAATGGCCTACAGTTGAGCTCAAAATATTTTTTTGTTAGGGAAAACATATTCTTTGGCACACACAAAAATATCAGCCCTGTTTCCAAATTTTTTTTTTTTCGTAATTCACCCTGGCAGAGTTTTGCTTTCCACTCAAAAGATGTGGCGCCCTTTTTTTTTATGTGGCCCAGCTTTCCCTTCAGGATTTTTGAAATCAACTTGGCATTCTTTCTAAGGGTTGCCTCCAGGTCATCCAAGGCGATTCCGCCATTTTCATCAACAGCCGCCAAAGTGACGGCCAATGTGGCGTCTGTGAAGGCGGCTGTTGATGAGAACGGCGGAATTGCCTTGGATGACCTGGAAGCAACCCTTAGAAAGAATACCGAGTTGATTTCAAAAATTCTGAAGGGAAAGCTTGGCCACAACAAAGAAAAGGGCGCCTCATCTTTTGAGTGGAAAGCAAAACTCTGCCAGGGTGAATTTTCTTGTTTCCTTCTGTAGCTGAGAAGTGGATTACAAATTTATCATATTAAGGATTGAAGAGCAAAAGAAAAAATATTTGCATCCACCTCCAATGACGGCAATAAGTGGCCGTAAATCATCTTTTACAAACCAACCCTTGTATAAACTGGAAGATGAATTTGAAAATTTAAAATATTGTTGTAGCTTTAAAAAAAGTCTAAAAGACTTGTGTTTGTGATTCTGTGCAGAACACTGACTTACTTGTATATTTGAAACTTTTCATGTATAAAAGAGGAAAAATTGATGCTCCAAAAATTATTGTCTATTATTTATGTGGCTTGCAAAGACTCTCCACCTGTGCAGTCTTGCCCTTGGACACAAAACTGTATTAATCTGGCCCTTGGCCACCTCTGAGTTTGACAGCATTGCCTTAACTCGTTTTAGGAGTGATTTATTATTAACCAAGTTGTCTTGAGCACTAAACCTGTATGCTGAGACTTCACAGAGGGGTTAATCCGTTCCAATGTCAGTTTGAATGTTGTTTTTCAATTCTTTTGAATAAATGATCAATTGAAGGAAAATATAGCGAAAAATGCAACGAAATAAGGGAAACAGTGTTGAAAACGACAGAAGATAATATATTTTGTGTGTTTCTATAGTGCGGTCTTGCGAGCCACAAGAAGTGTTTGAAGACATTGGCGTTGCGATGTGGACACAAGAGACTTCCTCGGAAAATGACGACATTCGGAGTTGAAATCGGGCATCACATGTCGGAAACGAGCGTTAGCATTCCTCCCCTGATTGCAAAATGCGTCAGCGAAATCGACAAGCGGGGACTCAAAGTCAAGGCGAGTTATTATTGCGAGCCAGATGAGGTGTGAAATGCAGTGAGACCCCCACATGCGGACACCTTGACCTGCAGACAATTTGACGTATAGGAACACTTATTTTACCATAGCAAATTAATTTTAAAAAAAGGCCCAACATGAGGACACTGACTCAACATAGGAACAATTTGTGATAAAAATTACAAATACAGTTTTGTGTCCAAGGGCAAGACTGCACAGGTGGAGAGTCTTTGCAAGCCACATAAATAATAGACAATAATTTTTGGAGCATCAATTTTTCCTCTTTTATACATGAAAAGTTTCAAACACCAACTGTAACCTTGGTGTAACTCATTTATTACAAATGTGACCCTGAGTAATCCTGGTGTGAACACATGATTGGTGCACATTAGGGATATACTGTACATGTGCAACAGAAAAACTTTGCTACACTTCAGGTGCACAGCAGGGTCACTGTGTAGAAATACTGACACATCCCCAATTTCCCCACTCCGGCGTCTTTTCTGCAGGAAGACTTTACTCCGCCTCAATATTACCCATTAAGATAAACTAGATCATGAAGTATAATTCACTCTACAGCCAGGGCAATGTGAAATGAAAGTAACTTCTCTTAAATGTGCAACATATAAATATATTTCATAGACCAAACTTTCTGCAGCAAATAACAGACCTACAATGAATATTGAAGATGTGCTTGGGCACACATTTATAGATTCAAGAGACAGCAGGTGAATGACAGTGCATGAAGTGAGAAAGATGAAAAAGATACAAGCATTTGTGTCACTAAGAGAAATAAATTACTGTATCGGCATATTGGACGCACTTTGTTGAAAAGGCGAATTTTTATAATTTTAAAAGCCCACAGCATTTTATGTTATCACTTTGAACAAAAGCTGAACATTAAAAAGAATTCAAAATTCACCGTGCTGAAGGCAAACGCCGAATTTTTTCGAAGTGATAATGTCATTGGTGGGTTGTATACAAATGGATTTTTAGAATCCTTTTTTTGGATTAAGATCCAGATTTTTTGAAGACTCGTCAAAGATTAATGGGAAGATATTTGTGAAAATCTCATATATTGAATGATGTAGATTTGTAGACAGTAAATAGACATGATTAACGCTTGAAGGATTGTCGTGTAATATTCCAGCCAAGAAGGACGACAGGAAATAGGTGAAAATGCAGTTCTTCGAAACAATTTACATACAAAGGCGTGTATATTTATTTTTGAAAAAGCGCAGGTGAAGCTTATGCAAAAATAAATAACAGCTGCAGTCTGGGAACAGTTTTTAGCAGAAAATTGACGTGCAATTTTCAATTAAAGACCCTTATGCACTTTATTCTTAATGTTCCAAATAACGCAAATTTATGTTTTGAAGTTTAAATCAAATACATAATCATAAATTAAAATTGGTGTACACTGTGTTGAGGTTTTTTTACGTTTTTCTTTGAAAGGATTGTATGACTTTGTCTTCACGTGTACATTCTAGCCAATTTTTTTTGTCAAATGGTGAAGAAAATTGTGTCACTTCGGTCTTGTGTAGTCTAATATACTGCCCTATATAGAGTCGAGATACTCCGGAGTCCAGACAGTTCAGTTGTGTATACTAATCTCCTTAAGCCTCCGCGTATGTGCGATTGATGATCATTGAATCAATTCAACTTGAATGACTTGAGTCAATATTGCCGTACGTCATCAATGATTTTCGCGTTGTGGACATTGAAATTTGAGCAAACGGATGATGAACGAATTGAAACCGACGTGCGTGCGGTTGTTTGATCAGCGTTCTTTGATGCCCTCCACCGACACGCGAGTCAGCTCTGTGTAAATTTGGCAAAGCAAACAGCGAATCAGGTTTCATCAAGGCCTCGAGTGTCGTGGAGATGTATATGCAATAAATATTTTATAGATCTCAATTTGTATATTGCTCAAGAATATATGTTGTCTTTTTGATTTTTTTGCGCAAGGCCGTGCATTTTCTTACTCTTTTTTTTTAAGCGTTTGAATTCGTGGATAATTTTAAACTGCTGTCTTAACAACAGCCTCTTCGATTTTTGATTCATTAAAAGGAGGCGTTGAGCTGATGAATTTAAAAAAAAAATCCTTAACGTGAATCGAAACATGTTGATCTTCTATGAGCTAATCTTTGCTATAGAAAATTGAGGCTTGAGATGAAACGGTATTTTTCTTTTCACCGCCTTGAAGCATTGATTTATCACGGATCTATAAATTTCAAGAACTTGAAAAACGTTTAAATACAGTAGTTTCGAAATACCGTGTAATTTACTCGTGTCTCGTCAATTTTAAACGTCGCAAAAATTGCCAAATACTGGTCGATTTTTCTTTTTAATCATGAAACTCTTTCTTGCGTGGGTTTTATTTTCCGCGTGTGAAATGCCACAAGCATTTTTTAAAGCAGAAATCTAAGATGAAATTTGAAGTGCTTCTCGGAAAATGTAATCCGAAATTTACGAGTATTCCTCGAGCAGAAGTAAACGTCACAATAAATATCGTGGAAGTGATGCTAACCCAACATTTTTCCTATTGTCAAGAAGCGCTTGTATATTCAATAATTCGTGAATTTAATTCTTTTTTGTAGCTGTGTTAAACTGCTCAATAATTTTATGAAATGCGTGCTGAACTACCGTAATTTTGATGAACCTTTCATGTATATACTGTAGCATTTGAGAAAGTTATTGTGGCCTGAAATTACTGTTTTTATTTTTTACTGAGACATTGATGATAAACGTAAAATATAAAATGTCATTAATTGATAGTTCATTCATTGTGAATTGCGCGCAATTGCGTTAAAAAAGGCTTTAACAATTTTAAAAACACGGTGGTAAATAAAGTAAATCGAAGAATTTTTTTATGAAAATGATTTCTTGTCCCGAGACACAAATTCTCTCCGGTAACATGTACTCCAATAATTCAAGTTTTTTCTGATTTTTGGATCACCCATGTATCTTTTTCATCTTTCTTGTGCCAATTTGAAAAGGGTTCAATAACAGATTTTATTCCTGAAATTTCCCTTTATTTTTTTCTAGGGCATTTATCGTGTGAGCGGAGTGAAGAGTCGGGTGGAGAAATTGTGCCAGAGCTTCGAAAATGGCCCTGAGCTAGTGGACCTCACTGAAGTACACCCGAATATCATTGCGAACGTTTTGAAATTGTACTTGCGTCAACTGCCGGAACCGCTGCTTCCTGCTTATCTTTATAACGACTTCATCCGGTTAGTGGCTATACTGTACCTGAGAAATGATTCATCAAAACGAGGCGTTGAGGTGATGGATTTGAAAAAAAAAATCCTTTGGTGAAACGTGATTCGAAGCATGTTGATCTTCTATGAGCTATACTATTTGCTAGAAAATTTAGGTTTGAGATGAAATGGTTTTTCATCTAAAAATATGTTGGAGGAAACTCCACAGCAACCAGCAAGTATTATGAATATGATGTAGGACACTGCAATGAAGCATTAATCCTATCCCAGATTTAAACATTTCAAGAACTTGAAAAACATTTACTGGGAACATTCTCAAATTCTGAAATACTGTACCTGTATTCAAAATTTCCTTGTGTCTCGTAAATTTCAAATATCAGAAAAATTGCCAAATACTTTACTTTGAGAAAATTGGGGAAAATGCATGTACATTTTGAGCTGCATGAAAGAAAAGCAAGAGGAAAATTTTGGTCGCAGTTTTATAGTACTGTAGTACAGTAATTTTTTATCATTTTTATGAGACAATGCCAAATTATGCTGCAGTAACTTCAATTATTTTCAGGGATTGATTCACGCAACAAGCACCGTTCCATTTATTTTATTTTTTCCGTTCTAGCTGATGTGAGCCTTCTTTTTGAGACTCTCACGAATGAATCTGATGCATAAAAATGAAAGTAAAGAAAGGTTGAGAGCAGTTTACAGGTCTCAGGGAACTAGGAAATTCGGGAATATTTTTCTGAAACATAATGAAGAAATCAAAGCACCTTTGTATATCGCATGTCTTTTCGCAGAATTGCGGCCGAGTATCCGGAAAACGACGAAGAAGCGGATTCGCCGCGCGCCTTGAGAGCCATAAATTCCATGCGAGACATCGCTGCCAAGTTGCCGAAGGTGATGATACTTTCATCAATTCCTAAAACGATTTTTTGCATGTGTGTGTGTGCTGCGGTGTTCACAGAATTTAAGACCGGATTCTGCCTCTGAGAAGCAATGCCTGATGCAAACTAATTTTGACCGGCAGTGCTAAAAACTATGCGAGAGTTGGTTCAAAAACTTGAGAATTTTTGAGATTATTCCAATGGAGTTTCAAAAATTAAAGTACAGTTAGACCCCAAGATGTGGATGTAATCGGTGCATCAAGAGTGTCTCAAAGTCAAAATGTCCCTACGGCAAGTCTCATTTTCCCTTAGACTTACATTATACAATTTTTAATTGGTGTTTTATGGACAAAAATCTCACTATAATTCCCTTAAAATAAAAATTATCTCTAAGTTTGAAGCTGATTCAATCAATATATTTCAACACAATATGGACATTTGGGGAATTGAACACTGATACCTCTGTACAGTACATGTAAATGTTGGCATTCTCTGTAAAAATAACATTCAAGTGAAAAAAAAGAAGGAAGTCCCTATATGCTGGAGGTAATTTTTTTAAATTGGCTAAATTGATCGTAAATTGGTGAGAGAAATTCCCAAGGACTTTTCTGACATCAATTTTAAGGTTGGAAATATCTGTTTCTTGTAATTTGGCCTGAACCTTATTTGCAATTTCATCACAAGATGTCCCTATGTTGAGTCAATGTCCTCATGTTGGGTTTTTTTATTAATTCTTTATGGGGAAAAAGTGTCCCTATGTTGAATTTTCTGCGTGTGGGGTCTCACTGTACATTTATTTATAAGTGTAATGTACGGTACTCTCTGCTGAATTCAGTGCATTTTTCAATCAAAATGCCAAAAACCGAGTTCTGTTGGTTGAGTATAAGATGTTCTTTGATGACGGAAACGGGGCTGTCCCTATATCCTCAAAATCTATCCCTTTCAGGTCGTGTTTCGCTGTCGAGAACAACAATTCACATGGTACCTAATCAACTAACAGAACTCGATTTTTGGCACTGCTTTGATCGTTGGATTTATCGCATGAAAAACTGCATTGAATTTGGGGGAGAGAATTTTAAATAGTGCCCAAGTGTTGCCTATAATGATGGGGTTATGCGAGTAAACGCCTTTTTTTTGCAATTTTTGAAACTTTGTTCTATCTACTGTATTTCAAAAATTTTCAGAACTTATGAACCAAACCTTGAGTATTCATGTGACTCATCCAATTAAGCCATTTATTTTTTCGATTCCTTATTGTGACCGACTTGATCGACCTAAGTTACGTCATTGTACTGACTGAGAAGCGCGGTTTTTGCACACGAATTCTTTTTTTTCTTCTGCTCAATACCTTCGGCAGTGGTTTTGCGAAAGTACTCTTTAGTACTCAGGCATGCGCTATTTTGAGAATGATCTTATGTCGGGGAAACGTTTTTTTTCTAGAGAGAAAAATAAGAGCAGATCGCTCAACCAGGCCAACCATCATCATCAGTGAAACTAGCATACTTCGGATTTTCTCACGATTTGTATTCTTTTCCATTGCATCATCACAGGTACATCGCGACACGTTATCATTCCTGATGCACCACCTGACGCGGGTCGCGGCCGAGGCACCGGCCAACAACATGCCTTCGTCGAACCTGGGCATCGTGTTCGGCCCGACCTTGTTGCGTTCCGGGGACGGGAACCCGTCCCTCAACACGCTCATCGACACGTGCTTTCAAACGCGAGCCATTGAAATCCTCATCGTTCACGCCACGTACATTTTCGGCCGGCCGCCGCAGCTGCCCAAGGAGTACTACGGGGACTCGGCCGTCATTCCGGAATCTTCCGCCAAACCGCATTCGATTCCGTGAGTTTCATATACGGAGAGGACAGTATATTTTACTGTTCCGTATTGCCTTGATGTGACAGGAGCAGAAATTTGAGGATACAGTGAGACCCCGAGATGCGGACGTAATTGGTGCATCAAGAGTGTCTCTGTATCAAAATGTCCCTAAGTTGAGTCTCATTTTCCCTTATACTTACATTATATAAATTTTAATTGGTGTTTCATGTACAAAATACTCACCATATTCCATGAAAATGAAAATTGTCTCTCAATTGAAACTGATCCAATCAATATATTTCAACACAATATGGTCATTTGGGGAATACTGATTCCTCTGTACAGTACATAAAAATGTTGGCATTCTCTGTAAATTACCATTCAAGGGAGAAAAAAAGAGAAGGAAGACCCTCTATGCTGGAGGTAATTTTTTTAAATTAGCTAAATGGATGGTAAAAATTAGAAAATTACCTCCAGCATAGCGCGACTTCCTTCTCTCTTTTTTCACTTGAATGTTATTTTTTACAGAGAATGCCAACATTTCTTTGTACTGTACAGAGGTATCAGTATTCAATTCCCCAAATGTCCATATTGTGTTGAAATATATTGATTAAATCAGTTTAAATTGGGAGACAATTCTTATTTTCATGGAATCATGGTGAGTATTTTGCACATAAAACACCAATTATAATTTATATAACGTAAGTACAGTATAATGGAAAATGAGACTAGACTTGGGACATTTTGACTTAGGGACCCTCTTGATGCACCAATCATGTCCGCATCCTGAGGTCTCACTGTATTTTAATTAAAGCAAAAGAGAAACGTTCTTTTAACTGGAGATTCCCGACGCATCTTTGGTTCCACAGAAGACAGGATTCGGGCAGTGACTCGGGCTTCTTGTCCCGGGTTCCGTTGATGAGATCTTTGTCATCCCTGGGAACTCCGCCGCCGAATGCGGGGAAGACGAAGACGGGGGAAGCTCCTCATCCAGCAGCCAGCAACAGTGGAAGGGACGCTCAGAATAAAGAACCCCTGCGGTCTGCTTCAAAGAATTTTCTGCATCAACACTTGGCCTTAGGAAGTCACCATTCCGAAGGTTTTCATGATTTAATTTTTTACAATTCGGTTTTCGATTTTTTTTTCTTTTCTTGAAGCCCGACAGAACTCGGGACGAAAACATTTTAATTTCCCGTGTCGGTGTAACGTTCTCTAAAAAAAATTTATTTTCCGTGGGCACTGAAGATCAATTCATTCTGAAGGAGATGATGTCGTTATTGTACAGAAGCTGTTCATGCATGAATAGAGTCTTGGTACATAGTACTAGAAAAGGATTTTTTCTTGCTCTGTACTACATTCGATCGAGCCTCTTATTGAAATCAAATTACTAGGGTTCCCCTAAAAAAAAGGCGGCTCAGTGAGTTTTCGGGTTAGATTTAAGAAACCAGAATTTTTTCCCGAGGAAAACAATGCAAAATTTAAAGGAAGATGTGGAAAACAATGGCTTTATTTTAAGGCGTGATAGAGATTAAATTTATTGTTCTATTTTCTGGGTCCCCAGAATAATACCATAAAAGGCATCTCAATATTTGAGTTTTAGAGGTTTGAGGGGGGAAGTTTCAGAGTTAAGGAGGCATTCTGAAATTAATTCAGACAGGAAACAAAAGAATTAACAGTTTTTTTTTAATTTCCGGAAGTTCCAGTCGTGAACGTTCAACTGCTGTTCATTGGAAATCTTTACTGAAAATTTTCTCCCATCAAGAGTTATATAGACCATACATAACCTTGTTTTTTTAATAGCGTTGAAGAAACGAGGAGAGAAATTGCAATTATTTTTATCTTTGTCACATTTGTGGTCTCAGAAAAAGTGTGGTCAGGAAATGTTGTCGAACTTATTTTGATCTTGATCCGGGAAGTTTTTCATTTTGAAAGAAACCTCCCATTTTTGGACTAAAGAATAGCTTTTTTTTAGAGGAAATTTCGGGAAATCTGGGACCTGATTTAATTCCTCTTTTTCTTTTTTTTTCCGTGAAGATTTGGATGAAATCGCTCCGGACAAGTCGCAGCCGATAGTGATGCTACAAGCGGTGGAGGATTCCAGGAAGAAAACGACGGGTTACTCGCAAAGTTTGTCCTTCGAAAGCCCGAGTTCGCAGCATTTACAGCCGGACCACTCCCATAATCCTCGTAAAGATGCCCTCAAGAAGTGCTTGTCCGACATGACCGCTATTGCTGGGATCGAAATCGAACCTCCTCAACCACCACCTCGTTTGGAGAAGCCCTCGAAGTCCGACTCAGGTATGAAGACAAATTTGAGGAGGGAAAAATCCGAATGCGAAAGAAAATATTAAAAAAAAAATGTTTCAGAAAAATAAAGACAGTGATTCACGCTTAAATGCACAGAGACCCCGACATACGGACGATACGACTTAGGGACTCACAAAAGCTTTAAAGAATAAATCGACCCTTAGATCCAAAATATATTTCGAGATACGGACACTTTTCCTGCATTATTTGAAGAATAAAATATTTTTTCAACATTTTGATATCTCTTGAACAAATGGAGCTATTTGTACTTCCATTATTTGGGGTACTAAACAGTACTTTGAACTACCGTTGATGAAAATTTTTCAACATACTTTTTATTTCAAATAAAGGTTTCCAATCTGAAATAGAGCTGAAAAAATGTCAGGGTCTTGTGTATTTTATGATAATACTGAATTTTCTCTACAGAAAGTTTTACTTCTTAGAAGAAGTTGGAATGCTGCAGCTTCTCAACTTTTTTTTTTCATTTTATAACCATTCATTAAATAATCCCTGTAGTTTAATAACTGTGTGCAGAATCCAGGGCAAAAAATTTGTTACAATGAGATAATAGTACAGTATTTAAAATATGTTTGTTGAACGATATTTTCACGGCATGGCGCCTGTTTGGGGAAAATGCCGGGACCAAGGAGAAAATTCGTTGTAGCGGAATTTTTACCGTACTCTATTTTTATTTTTATTTTCTTCCACTGTACTGTGTTCAGGACCCGCGGTGGTGGGAAGCAAACCCTTCCGGAAGAGCCTCTCTGGCCCCACGTTATCCGGTGAGAGCGCTCTGGTGGGTCTCATGAGAAGTCAAACGTCGCCGAGTCGCCGCACCCGCCCACAGGTGCCGCTCGCTGCCATGGCGGAGGCCGTCGCGGGCGTCGATGCTTCCCCGACGGACTACCAGCATAAACAGCCGTCGAAACCCGGCAACAAGCACAGTGCGTCGGGCACAGGTTCAGGGGCCAGTGTACCATCCGTCAGCGAGTCCGATGGATCCACTGGATCGCTCTTTAGTCCTAGTGAGTCCCTATTAAATGGACTGCTGCGATAAGAACGAATCTTACTGTACTGTACTGTGGAAAAGAACCACGAAATAAGCCTGTTTATGATTAATCTATTCCAGTCAATTTCTGGAAAGGTTTATTTGAATTTTTGTTGATGCATAGATAGCTCCATTTGTTCAAGAGATGTCCAAATTTTGGAAAAATAAAATTCCCCGTTTCTAGAAATGTTGGAAAAGTTTCCGTATCTCGAGGCATTGTCTGATGACGAGGCAGATTTTTTTACTTTCAAGCGTCCCTGAGTCGAATCGTCCGTATATCGGGGTCTCACTGCATGTGTATAAAGACCACTTATATGGAATGTTTTCATTTTTTCGAGCCAGAATGTTGTGATTATCGAGTCATTATGGGCACCACCACATTTTAATCGTCCTCATTATTAATGCATTGGGGGGGGGGGATTTTTTGGAAATAGAGGTTAAGAAACTACCGTATGTAATTCAGGATGATAATGATGTGATTCTCACTTACCTATTATTTATTCATGTCAGTAATTAACATCCCGAGGAGCTCCACCAGAAAACCATTGAGAACACATGAAACGCTTTTCACCCTTTTTTCCTTTTCCAAAACATAAAGTTTCATTGGTCCCAAAAAACTGGCAGAATGGATTTTTGATTGGCACCTTTTTTTTATTTGCTTATGCTCGGCAAACATAATATTGTAGAGTCCAAAATTAGCGTTTGAACTTTCAGCGCTTAGTACGCAGTGTTGAAATCGGATTGAAGTTCTCTGGTTCTTTTTCTGAAATTATTTTGGTTTGGTGTGTCAACGAAGTTTCACTCTGAAGAATGCTGGCCTCAAGTTGCGTCTGCAACTCCTATAATGCTTCTTGCTTTTACGTTTCGATGTAAAGTCGAGAAACTAATCTTCAGTTAGCAGTATGAGCATGGAAGTACAGTGAGACCCCCAGATGCGGACATAATTGGTGCATCAAGAGCGTCCCTAAGTTGAGTCTTGTTTTCCCACAGACCTACAGTATATAATTTTAATCGGTATTATTCAGAATTCCATGAAAAAAAATTTGTTTGCCACTTGAATTTGATTCAGTGAATATATTTTCAACCCACTAAGAACATTTGGAGCATTGAATGGTACAGTGAGACCCCCACATGTGGACGCCGCAACATGGGGACATTGCAGGATAAAATTCCAAAATAAATTTTAGGAAAATCAATTTTTATAAGGCGTAATTGCAAGAAACAGATGTTTCCAACCTAAGATATATGCAATAAAAATTCTTTGGTACTTTTCCCATCCATTCAGCTAATCTTAAAAATGCTTTATAGCACAAAGGGACTTCCTTCTAGCTCTCTTTGAGACATGGATGTTATTTTTACAGATGCCAACTTTTCAATTTACTGTACAGAGGTACACTATTCAATGTTCCAAATCTTCTTATTGGTTTGAAAAGATATTCATTGAATCAAATTCAAGTGGCAAAAATTTTTTTTCATGGAATTCTGAAGAATACTTCTTCCATAAAACACCAATTAAAAATTATTCAATGTAAGTCTATGGGAAAACAAGATTCAACTTGGGGACAATCCGACATAAGGACACTCTTGATGCACCAATTATGTCCGCATCTGGGGGTCTCACTGTATAACCGCTGTACTGTTCATTGAAATGTTGACAACTGTAAAAATAACATCCAAGTCACAAAGAAAGAAGGAAGTCTGTCTGTGCTATAGGTAATTTCTTTTAAATTAGCTGAATGGATGGGAAAAGTTCTGAAGAATTTTTCTTGCATAAATCTTAGGGTTGGAAATATCTGTTTCTTGCATTTAAGCCTAACTAAAGTCAATTATCCTAAAATGTATTGGCAATTTTATCATGCGATGTCCTCATGTTGAGTCAGTGTCCCTATAGTGGGCATTTTTTATGATTTTTTTATTAAAAAATAAATGTCTCTATGTTGAATTGTCCCCTTGTTGAGGTGTCCGCATGTAGGGGTCTCACTGTATTCTTCTTTTTTTTTTACTGTACTGTGCTACAGTATTTTTATGCTTCATTTATCCATCTGTATTTATTTTTCTAGGACCGAGCAAAATTCGGACAGCGATGGATTTCAGGCCCCAGCTTCACAAGCATGCGTTTGAGCCCGAATCTTCGCCCAGTCGAAGCAGCAAAGCGTCTGATAAATGAATTTCCTCTCAATGAACAAATGCGGTATTATTTATTTTTCGGTGTTAATTTTTTTCTGTTTTTTTAGTTGTACTGGAGAGATGCTCGTGAGTGTGTCAAAGGCAGTTAAAAATTTGTTAATCCCGATAAAAAAAAGGGGGGGCTCGAATCCAGAGTCTCACGCTTTCACATTTTTCCAATCGATGATGATAAAAAATATAATCGAAATCTTTTCTGTAAAATTGTTGGGTGTGTAATGATACGATGTTTGCGAGAGTTTTAGGCACCATTTTGGCGATGCTGACTCCCAAAAAATTTGGCTGCGCAATAATTGAGATTCTCATGAAAAATACTTTTTTATAAAATTTAAAATAACATTTGTATGATTCGTAACTCATCCTCTCGTGAATGAATCGTCATTGAATGGCGAAGGAAAGTTTATCCTCCGATAATTACCAAAATTGGCAATTCCAAGCGCAAATGTGAGAATATTTGGATTTCGGGGGTTTTTTTTAACTGAGTGGTCATAATTTTTCTTTTTTTTTTCGAGATTTATTACGATTCAAGGAAAATCAAAATGAGCCTTCATCTGCAGTTCATCGTCGGAATGAACGGCATTCTGTTTGAAGAAATATTGTAATTTCAAAATGTTTCGTTTTGGTCTACGCCGTATACGTCGGAATTTCTGTCATAGCGTGAAGGAAGTAATTGTGCGTTTTAGATTCACCAGCAAATTTTTATTTATTTACTTTTCAAATTCTAGGGTTGAAAGGATGAAGGTGTGTCTCGAAGGTTCAATGGCGTATTACTTTCTTTTCCTAGAAATGCGGTTGCCGATCCCCTTTTGGTGTCAAATAAGTGCAGTCCATGAAGTAAATACGAGCCTTGTGTAACGTTACGAATCCTAGCAGGAGTTTTTCTTGACATTTCAAAGCAAAAGGTGCATTTTTTTCTTCTTAAAATTAATTGTTTATATTATTTTTAGATGTTGATGGGTTCTGGGCTGAAATGATGATGTCATCTGTTGCTTCACGAAGAAAAAAGACATTTCTTTTCAGCGTTGATATTAAATTTTTTTAATATACTCGACAAAGAAAAATGAATTTAGAACGAAGTTTCTGGTTTTCGTACTGCTTTTTCGAATGCGTTGGTCCTTGAAATTTGTTTCACATTATGCAAAGCCCTGCATAAATTAAAAAAAAAACAATTAGACAATGTACTCTCGAAAAAAATTTCATATAGCCTTTGTTTTCCATTCAGACGATGAAAATAATTATTTCAGCGCTTTTTTCACTTGTCTGTGCTGCGAAGGAAGCAAATCTTACTTCTTTTTTTCTAACGTCCGCGTTGCTATATTTGATTTCTGAGCAGAGAAAAAAAATGTTTCAGTGGTTTTTTATGCTTAACCGTATCGGAAAGAGTTTTTGAGTTTTGTCATCCAGACCAGATCAATGGCGAGACGTTTTTATGGTTATGTTTATTTGTGGTTTTTTTCTGTGTATGAAAAGAAGAGAGAAAAAAATGATGAGGAAAGAATTTGGCGAATTGTTGTTGTGAATGCAATTATTTCAACTTCTTTTCATTTTGTGACATTCTTTCAATACCTAATTTAATTATTTTTCACATAGGCCTCATTGCTGCCTGTTCTTTGTTGCTGTGGGTTTAGATACTTTTAGAAGGATGTGGTGTTGGCAGTGTGAATCCTACTTGTAGCACAAAAGAAAACAACCAGCTTAGGTAAGTTGCAGTAAGTGAAAGGTATCCAAATGTGAGTGTGCATGAAATTTTTTTTTGCACTGTCAAAATTTTTTGAAAACATTTTATTGAAGAAACTCACAACAATCCAATTTGAGGAATTTTTCAGCCAGAGAAACTAGCATTTTTGCTAGAAAAAGTCAAGAATGACAAAGGTTAAAATCGGTTATCTTGTGGGCTGTAAACTAATCTATAATGAATGAAGGGATGTTGGGGTGTTGAAATCATGTTTTTCAAAATTTTGAAAAAAATTGTTGCCTTTTTCATGCTTTTCTGTACCCTGGGTTCCCAGAAGAAGAGCTCAAATAATAGGCCTCTGAAAATTCATTCCTGCTGGTAACTAAACTAACACGTTCCTGGATGTGTTTTTTTGTGCAAAATTTTTAAGGCAATGTGAAAACAAGATTTCCCTTGAGAATACGACATTGCAATAATCATTAATTTGTTTCCAAGATAACAAAGTTTAGTGAGGCTGAGGTCATTCTTTAAAGAAAAAAAGGCATACAAATTTACATCAACTGCAGCAATGAGACCACAATAAGATGCAGATACAGTATACTGTAATTAGAGTGTCCCTAAATCAAGTCTGGTTTTCCCATAGACTTACATTATCTAGTTTTTAATTTGTGTTCTATGAAATAAATATGCATCAGAATTCCATGAAAAAATTGTCCACCAATTGAAATGGATTCAGTGAATATATTTCAACTCAATGACAGCATTTGGTACATTGAATACTCTACCTATGATGTACAGCAGTAAATTGAAATGTTGGAATCTGCAAAGATAACATTCAATTCACAGAGGAAGAAGGAATTCCATCTATGCAGGAGGCACTTTTTTTTTCAACTAGCTGAAGGGATGAACAAATGATGGGGGAAATACCAACAACTTGTTCTGGCATATAGATCTCATCAGGGTTGGAAATATCTGTTTCTTACAATTCAGCCTGATAAAAGTCACTTTTCCTGAAACTTGTTGGTGATTTTATTGTGCACTGTCCACATGTTGAGTCAGTTAAGTGTCCACATGCTGCTGGGCCTTTTTTATTGGAAAAAAACTGTCCCTATGTTGAATTGTCTGCATATGATGGGTGTCTCAGTGTATTCTACATACAGTACATCATACTGTAAGCTCACATATCAAGGTAATTCAGCTTGTTATCTACACTTTTTCTTCCTAAATTTTTTCAAAAAATGAGGCCCATAGATTGGGTCTTCATGTGCATGTATGCAAGTGAACAGATGTCACCATCATCAGAACTCAACCATAATTGTTCTGATGTTCAATTTGGTTTTATGATTGACAAAGAAGCATTTGGAAAGCTTTTTCAAGTACTGTACTAAGGAAAACACAGATAGAAGTTAATTAAGGCTCAATAAAAGTCTCAAATTATAATTCTTGCATTGCAAAGAACATTTTTTAATTCAAGACATTTTTGTTATGTGAGTCGGTTTTCTTTCCTGTCCTAGTATATTCTTTGTGTGATTTTTTGTTCAGGGACTGTCCATATATTTTATCGAAAAGGAAATTTTATCAAGTTGAGTATAGTTAATAATAATCAAGTAAAGTCAAAAATCAATAATAATATATGCAGTTGCTGAGTTATCAAAGTGCTTGATGGAAACAGTAACCTTATAGAGTATAGGGAAACAAAGAGTCGTATAAATCCGTAAATTTTACACTCATGATTCAAAACTCATTTAATGTTTTACAACAGTAGATTTCCCTCAGCCCTGTTTCGTTTATTTTTTCAGGACAATTAATTTTGTATACCGTATTATTCAGGTTTTATTCGAAGCAAAAATCAGTTCCTGTTTGAAATTTTTTTTACATGTTTTGCAAAATTCACTCTGGCAGAGTTTTGCTCTCCACTCAAAAGATGAGTCGCTCTTCCTGTAGTTTTTTTTTTAGTTGTTGTAGCCTCATCTATTGAGTGGAGAGCAAAACTCTTCCATGTTAAATTTTTCAAAACATTAAAAAAATTGTCAAACACGAGATGATTTTCTTTTGTACCAAAGCATATGTTTTCCCTAAAGAATAATTTTTTTCTGCTCAATTTTACGCCATTTTCATTTCGATTCCGAGAACTTTTGTTAGAACCCTTGTATTTGTTTTGCAATCTTTTTCAAGAATAACCTCTCCGAACTCTTTGTTGTTTGAAATAATATACTGTAATCCGCAACGCATTATTATCATTTTCAGAAACATACCTGTTTTTACTCCTGTTGAAAGACCATTATATAGATAGAATTATCTGATGGCTTTTGCATCGATTTGAAGACTGGTTTCAAAGTCCTGTTTAACCTATACCTTGTCTCCATGATGTTCGACTTATTCGTCGGAAAGATGGAGGTTTCATTTCGCCTCTTCCACAGCAGTATTACACAAGCTGTGCATATTTGTTTCGAGATGAGTGCGATGATCATGGGATAATTTCTTTCGGAAGAATCGTTATTTTTCTTTTTGTGATCATCATCTGATGTAGCATGTAGCTGATGTATCATCAGCATTATTTTACGAGTTGCAATTTCCGGCATTAAATAATTTCGCTGCTGCTGCGGACTTGGATGAGATGCTTTTGATCGCCTTCTCGTGACGATAATTTTCTCGAGACGTCTTGCGTCGAATTTATGGCCATTTTTCTCTATGGGAAATATTTCAAGTTGTTTTTTTGTTTGTTTTTTATTCTCTCTGGTCGGGTGAAGGGTTTGTCGTGAGTGTTTTAAAGCGAGAGTTGCAGAAAGTCGTCGAACGGCGAAGTGAGGATTATGTTGACTCTTATATATGAGTGGATGAATGGATTAATTAATCCCATGTGTTTAACAATTATTGAACCTTCTTTAAAAGATTGAACGAAAAATTTGAGTTGGGGGAAATTGCCGTGTTTTTTGGGGAGAAATTATCATTACTTTTTATTTGCCGTGCCGTTTTTGAATTGTGAGGCTTTTATTGATGATGGGAATTTCTGAAAATTTCAGGAATTAAATCCTGCTAATTTTTTAATTCAATTTTGTGACCAACCGAAACATTCGAGTTGAAGGAACTAATATTTCTTGGAGGAAGAAACTATTTTTGACTTGGGCGAGCCGTTTGTCAATTTTGAAAATTTTCATTAATAGTGATGAGAATTTCTGAAAATTTCAGTATTATTTCAGGAATTAAATCCTGTTTTCTTTAAATTTCAATTCAGTGACCAACCGAAACATTCGACTTGAAGAAACTAATATTTCTTTGAGGAATAAGAAACTATTTTTTAATTAGCCGTGCCGTTTGTTGATTGTGAAAATTTCATCAGTGATGGGAATTTCTGATAAAGGTTTGCTTCAATTTTCTATAGAAATTCAGTTGCACTCTTTTCAAGCATACTGGTCTTGCATGTTATTCTAAAGTATCTAAACTATTCATCAGAAATTTTGAAATATTTCCTCTCAGATTCAACGGGTTAAATAATTATACACTATTGGCTGATTTGTTCCCCTGGTCATTCGTGGTATAGCAAAATTGGCGAGATAATTTAAGCTTGAGAAAATATGAATGGCAGGAAGTATAATCCTGTTTTTTATGATCTGGTATCCCGAACTTTTCTGGTTCGAAAATGCTGTATTTGTTGAAGAAAAAAAAAGCCTGTTGGAAACATGTGAAAGTTGCCTGCGTTCAGGAATCCTTCGTATTTTATGAGATAGAGATTTTTCGATTTTGCTCCGCTTTTGACACTTTTTTTTTAGCATCGTGTTCGACGTTTTCTTCCGGTCTGAAGGAAAGCAGGTTTTCCCTGATGGTCATGCTTTTGTTCTTGCTTGTAAAATAATCTCGCAGAAAATTCTAGAAAATGCGCATGGATTTTCTCCGTATAGTTCAGCTGTTCATTTCGTGTACCGCGGAGCAAAAACGCCATTTTTGCCTGTTTTCAAAAGCAAACCTTCTGCGATCTGTACGCTCCCTTCGTTTCGTTATTAATTTCAAAGAAATGGTTTATCTGTATAGTGTAGTCGGGCTTTTCAAACATACAAACATACAGTCAAACCACGTTAAGACGCCCCCCCATCAATAAAACGCCACCCTCGGCAACCGCCAACATTTTTAATGCGTTAAAACAAATCTATGGAATTCTATAGAAAACCTCGATATGACGCCCACCGCCATCTGCCAGTATTAAAGATGAAACAAACTTTTGTTTCATCTTTATTACTGGCAGATGGCGCTTGGCGTCTCATCAAGGTTTTCTATAGAATTCAACATGGAGCAGATATGTTTTATTGCATTATCTTTTATCTGATAATTTTCAAAGACTACAATTGAAGTTAAAATATTTACCTGTTGAAAATGTAAAGTTGTTGTCTTTTCTCCTATAATAACACTTTTTCGGGCAAATTTTCTCTTTGATGTGGAGTAAATTATTTCGCTAAGATTGAATTAAATTCAATGTTAAAATACGGTAACAATTGCCCTGGTTGTAGCCCAACTAATTTCTTGAGTTTTTATTCTAAAATACTCATTATTCTTGCCTAAATTCTCGATAGTATGAACGAGGTGTTTTTTTTGGGGGGGGGGGGATACGTATATAAATAGCTTATTTTTTCATTTCATTTTCAGTTTACAAAGGATTGATTGTAATGTTTTATATCTTTCCTCATCCCTGTTTATTTTCTTGCAGAAATAGCCTGTGACCTGCTTCATGGGTATATTTTTCCTTTGTGTTTTCCTCTTTTTCTCGGTCTGTCCAGTTGAATGCCTAGATTTTGAATTAACTCAGTTATTTGAGAACCGTTCGAATGATGATATATCAT